TTTGTGGCCCCTGCTACGCTGGCACTTAGAATGTAACGGAGTATAAAAGTTGTAGTGGGGAAGCGTATTGACGCATGTTCGAAACGCGAGCCAAATATTCTAGTTTTCTCGTCTGAAGCGCTGCTGGAAACTTGAGAGCTACCGGCCTATACGGCCGTTCGAGCCATTCTGTCTTTTATCACTTATGAAATGTGTGAGTTTCCTATGATGTAGAGTTGGTCTCCATACATAGCAAGGTCGTCAGGTCCTATCTTCCTTGAACAGAAGGTAAGTTGTCTGCAACTTTATGTTTCGCGTTGGTTAGCACAAAGATGGCGTAAACGGCACGAAATTTTTTTCGCTCACTTGTGCTGATCCGTCACGCGTGCGATACGTTTTTGCTGTATTGTGACGCCGATCGAGCTAGACCATCTTGTGACATGTCGGATTCATTTTTGGTTTATTTTTCCGTCAGTCGATAGTTTTTTGTTTTCGATATAAACTGCAGGAACGTGTCGTTGAGCTTGGATCGAATAGATGATGGATATTAAGCTCTTTGTCGCTTTTTTTCCCGCTGAAACAGGTAATGTTCTACGGAGGTGACTGCTGCGTGCTCTGGTGCGCCAACAATTGAACGACAAATAAGAAGCCAGGTGTTAAGTTTTTCCGGATTCCACGTAATTCAAGGCACGTATATAATTCGATTATGTCTTTACGTAGAACATTTTCTGGAAGCAAACACTCAGTATAGCTCAAAAAAGATATTTGCAGAGACAACGTTCATGGCAGTTTAAAATATCATTCTTTACAGTACGTATGGCAAGTCAAGAAAACTTCCAAATATTTCGGTACTAGATAGACGGTGTTGTCTGACTTACACACCACGTTTAACAAAAACAAAAGGGTAAAAATGAATATTCTTAGCAAGGGCAATCTTTTACAAATAGTTTGCAAATGACACTAATAAAGTGATAAAATGACAAGCAGCCAAACATTTATTCGGTCTAACTTCAGCATCAAATCAAAGACACCAATCTTTTTCATGTTGCGTGAAAGGGTGGATTTCGAATACATGTCCAGTTTGTTGGCCCATATAGTACATGGACTGTAAAGGAAAAGGAACACTATCAGAGGGGATATACAACTGCAAACTTTGCGAAACGCGAAGGTTTCACTTAGCAGTGGCATTAAAATCTTCCGATATGCAAAAGAACAGGGTTCACAGATTAGCAGTTTATTTCTCTCGTTTACTGAATGTAACATAGGTATAGTACGTACAATGATTTTTTCAGGTCAAAGACATGGGTACGGTATCCTAAACGCCCTGAGCTCATACGAAAGACCGCCACACAGCTCAATGTGGGCTACCGCATCTGTAGTGAACACTTCACTACAAATGACTTTATGGATCCTGGACAGACGAGACTCACCAAAACAGCTGTCCCGACAGTTAGGCCGCAAATAAGTAGGCTCTCTGCAATGACGCAAGGTAATAACTTTTCTTTGCTGGCAGATTGTAACAGCTAGGTTCCAGTTTTATCTTTTCTTATAGCCAATGGCAGCTCTACTTTTTTTGCTGTCACCTACCAGCATGATGTTAATGCTGCTCCCTGGCACACTCTCTATTGTAGAATCGGCTTTATTTTTGTTTTATTATTTGCCACACAACTGCTGCATTTCCAGTTATTTGATTGTTTTGTACATAATATTTGTAACATCTTAGCCCTATGCATAGCATTACTTTTCAGTGTCAGTGACAGCCCGAATTAGTTGACATAATGTTACTGCAGCAGGACGTCACTCTGCATTAAAACATTTGAAGGTAAACGTTCGGCAGCCCTCTACCTGGTTAGGAATAGACATGAAGTGAAAAATAGGGACTGTAACCAAAAATTTAATAAACATTTACCCGACATTTCGGGACCAGTTCGGTCCCTTGTTCACGGGTCAGTGACCTTAGGTCACTCACCCGTGAACAAAGAACTGAACTGGTCCCGAAACATCGGGTAAATGTTTATTACATTTTTTGGTCAGAGTCCCTATTTTTCGCTTTATGCATTAAAACATGGCAATTTGTGTCGTCCAATCGAGTGTTCTGCCAGTGCCGTATGACTTCTGACATGGTATTTTTGGTGTGTATCTCTCCACAAGGATATCAAAACTCTACGCAAACAGGGCCCGCGTTTGGAATTCTTGTCAATAAAGGCCAAAATTTGTTGATGAATATCTCCAAGTCGGTTGCACCTTTCTAAATCCTGTAAATTTGTTTCTCTCTTTCCGGTGGGTGTCTTCAAAGTTGCTAGTGCAACATGGGTAAAAAACTAGTAATTAAAAAGTTGATTAAATAGGTAATTAGTATGATTTCCGCAATGCCAGATGTCCGCCGAGGCTGGGAGTTTGTTCCCGCAAAGAGCTTTTTCTTTATCCCGAACAGTAAATCTTGATAATATTTGTCTGTCGTCGCTGAAACTATAAGAACAAGATCTTTTCAAGCAGCCTTTTACATTTGCATGTGTGAAATTTGTGTCAAATATTTATTGATAGGTATCAATAAATATTCACATGCTACATAATATGTAAATATTATTCACATGCTACTACTTTTTGTCTGGGGCGTTCTGCACAGCTCCAGTCAGATACTTAGGTGTGTCCCTTATATAATGAAACATGGCACATGCAGCATATGTCTTTCTGTGATTTCGTGTCTGTTCTGATTTTCATGATCAAGGATATCGTGTTGAGCAACTTTATCATGACTTCCGGTCTTTGTTGTGCCTGCTCGTAAATGTTGCACTTGTAAAGACAACATTTTTTTCTAGATCCTGAAATCCATTTTGCAGCCATGTCAGTTTTCAATCTCCTCACATACCGGAAGACGCACTCATTGTTCGGCCATGTCTGGCCCGAAACAAGTTTCAGGCTATGTGAATTGGTGTTTCGAATTGCGTACAAATTTGTTTCTTGCTGTATGTGGTGTGTGCGGCGTCCTCTTCTGATTGGAAATAATAGATACATTCTATTTATTGATACACTTGCTTTTGATGTGTAAGCCGTCGTGATAGCAAAAGTATTTGCTCGCAAACCTCAAAAAACAGCGCTAAAAATTGAACAAAGGACAAGTGAAAGAAGTGCACGGACATTGCTCACTCTGTTCACTTCCGAAACTGTTTGGTACGGTTCGTTTACAAATCATTATGCAATTTCTTTTTCAGTGCAAGTAAACATTATATTTTTTTAAATATTTTATTGCAGTATTGAGAGTATTAGTTTATTGCAGAATATAAAGTGCTTCTAATCTGATTTACATGCTCATATGTGTTCATGAATGTGGTCAAAATAAAGAGATTTTGAACCAAATGCTCTTGTTGCTTCCAGATAGAGCAGACGTACTAAAGTGGCGAAACGGCAGAGGTGGTTCATGGCTTATAAAATTTAAACCGCTCACAAAAACGAGTACCTCCGACTTATGCAAGTCGGAGGTATTTGTTTTTTTTAATCATGAATCCCCGCTTTTGGAACATTTTTGCACAAAAACGAGGACAAAAAAGGAAGGAGAACAGAACGAGCGCTTCCCTATGCGCTCGTCCTGTTCGCCTTCCTTTTTTTTTTTTTTTTTTTTGTCCTCGTCTTTGTTAGCGCTTTTAAATTTTATAGAGCAGACGCCATGGACACCGTGGACACCTTAAAAAGTTTTACAGTAGAAAACAAATATATTATTGTAAAGACAGTTCATAAAAATATAGAGTGTAGGCGAGCAGCTGGAGATAATTAACCCGAGACTGGTCATATAGAGCGCACAGGAATAGGGGGGGTGGAGACGACGATGACTAAGCGCGCCCAATTCGAAACCGAAACTAGCTATACCGAGATCCCTAAGCACGTTCGATCCGAAAGCGAAACTATTTATACCGGAAACCGACGCGGACGTCTCCTAACATCCGCTAGGAGCGGTGGCTGTAAGGCGGGCTCCCTCTATCCTGAAAAAAGTAAAGCCCCTCTATCCTGGGAAAAGTGGCGCCATTCATTGTTACGGGAATGCTCGAGACACGTGGCGCACGCCACTTCTGGGAAGAGCAAGGCGTCTGAAATCTAGCTCAGTGCTGCGCAGTGCCGCCATAATCTTCCCAAGGTCTCACCTTGCACGTGTCTCGTGCATCCACGCACCTTGCGCTACTTTTGAAACACGAAGGGGCTTTAGGGAACAGTGGCGGCATTTATTGTTGTAGACATGCTCGAGACACGTGCCGCGCGCCACTTCTGGGAAATTCATGGCGTCCGAAATCTAGCTTAGTGCTGCGATGTGCAGCCATGATCATCCCAAGGGCTGCGCGTTGCCCGTGCCTCGTGCATCGACAAACATTGTGCTACTTTTGGCGGGCTAAGTGGGCCGCTGGGCCCTATAGTCGTGTCCACTCTTTAAATTCACTATATTACTCTATGGCAGTGCGCCGAGAATCTGAGAGAGAAGGGGAGAAGAGCGCGCTGAGACGTCAGAACTCCGCGTTCTGGTTGGAATGTTAGGGGGTAGACCTAAACCTAGCTGCCTTGGCCTCCACGGCACTCGTCGAACGCATTCGAACGTGGAACGCCGGTGTCCGGAGTTCGGCTCTCGCATTCGATCACATTCGTCGATTGCAACGGAGACAAAGACAGCTGGCTCTAGGTATACACCCACTAACCTTCCAAGCAGAGCTCGGCGTTCTGACGTCCCTGCGCGCTCTTCTCCCCCTCTCCCTCAGATTCTCGGCTCATAAAGAAACAATAGAAATCGACGGATTCAAAAGATGTTTGATGGTATTGTATTCTTTCCACTATAGGCATGTATAGCGACGCCTTGCGACCGTACCTTTCACACGAAGTATAGCATTTCCGGCTTTTGCGCCGAAATAAAAGGTGACAAGGTTTGGCCCGTTGCATCAGTTAGAACAGAGTCCGGCGTCTAGTCCAGCAGCCTAAGCGCGTGCTTTTGAGTTGTTTTTTTTTTCACGCACCTTGCAGCTATGCACTGCAGTCATTCCGGGATGTTGCAAAGCTACGCTTTTGCCATCCTCTTTGCGCTTTTACGAGTTGGGCAGTCGGTGTTTCCGGTTCCAGACAAAGCCCGAGAAGGTGAGTTGCAGACAATCTTCCGCGCGTAAAGTTCGCATGTCGACATTTTGAAATACGCGAAAGGTCTTTTTGATGGCGCTGGTAATGGAAGTAGCGCGTCGTGTTCGTCATCCTTATAAACTTTTGCATGTCTATCTGTAGGGTGTCTCCAGTGGATCTTATGTTGTAAAAGAAGCCGGAAATATTGACGCCTGCACATACAAAGTTCAAACTTTAACCGAGTGCATTAACGGGGGGGGTTTTACCTTGTGAAATTTCAAGGTGTAGTTCTTTCTCTGTAGAAAACGAGACTAACAAACTTGCTAAAGCGATGGATTTGCAGACGACTGAGTTAGCGATGAATGTAACTTGCGCCAGATCTCCCGAAAAGAGGAGCTAGCAGACGACGCACTCTGTTGTCTGCTTGCAGCGCCTATCGGAAGTGGGCGCCTCAAGCAGCTAACTCGGTCGTTGCCTTTGACTTCGGCAAGGTTGTTGGTGTCGGTTTTTGCTTTTTTTTAAGAAAGAAGACATGCGTGTTGAAATTTTACAAGGTAAAATTGGTCACCTGAAAGCATATTCGGAGGAAGTTTGTACATTTTGTGTGCAGTCACCGATTTTTCTGAATCGTTTTACAGCGCAAGATCCCCTGTAGCCACTTTATATAGGCTTTTCCAAAGTGCATGGAAGTTTTCACCTCGTGTGCCGATTCTCAAAAATGGGTCAGCAGTATCTGTCAGCAATTATCGTCCAATTTCAGTGATCTGTTCATTTGCCAAGGTGTTCGAGAAGGCCATGCGTTGTCATATTATGCGCTTTTTTTCCAGACGTATAAATATGCGACATGGTTTTATGCCAAATCGTTCTTTGGAAAGAAATTTGATTGCGTTTACGGAATGTGTGGGTGCCAAAATAGAGTCAAAGCAGCAGGCTGACGCAATTTATTTTGATTAAAAAAAAACTTTTGACATAGTGAACCATTCCTTGCTAGTTAAAAAAAACTTGGGTACTATTGGCTGTCCTTACCGCTTTGCAAATGGATTCAGGGCTATCTACATGACGGATAGAATTCTGTTTCATATGGTGGCCTACGGCCAACCGCGTACCTCTCCAGATCGGGCCTCCCGCAGGGCTCTAACGTATCGCCCTTGCGTTTCAACATATTCGTAAACATTTGTTCAAGCATAAATCACTCGGAAATATTACAAGTTCGCTGATGATGTTAAGCTTTTTCGAGCTATTGTTGACACTTCTAAAAGCGATAAATTACAGCAAAATGTTATAGCACCGGCAGATTGGTGCACAGTTACCAGCTTGCTTCTCAACCCGGCTGAAACAAAAGTTATATCTTTTTCTAAAAACCATTCTTGCAACATCTTTGACTAGATTTGGAACAAGCGCTTGATTGAGCGCGGCTCAGTTGTACGGGATCTAGGAGTCTTCCTGGCCAGTGAATTGAAATTCTCTGATCATGTGGAATTTTTGAGCAACACGTGTTACCGTACTCTGGGTGCAATTACCAGAATGACGCGTGATTACTGGGGATATTCTTGATTTTGTATCTGTATCGATCCCTCATCTTGTCTAAACTGGATTTCTCTAGCGTTCTTTGGAATTGTTTAAACCAGATAAACTCGAATGAACTTGACAATATACAAAAGAAATTTGTTCGACTGCTTTATGATTGATATTTTAACAGGCGAATTTATTACAGCCATGACTGATTGTTAAAGGGATACTGAACCAAGGAATTTAGTGTCCATAATAAGTGGCGCACGTTCTTTCTACGAGCCAGCAGCCGCCGGTTGTGCGCGAGCACACGCAACAAAAACGGCGTCAAATACCTCCATTCGCAGTTAAGATGGCAGTGAAATGTATGGGCTTGGGGCAAAAGGAAAATAAAAAGTTTTTCATCTACAGTGTGGTGTCTGGTGTAAAAGGTAAGCGATTAATTGGTCTAACAAACACGTAGCTTTCGCTTGTAGAGATGAAAACTCGCTGTTTTCGAATGCGCTGTTTTCACGTTTGACGATGTTAAACCAACTAGCCCAACTTACTGCCTTGTTGTAGAGATGAAAAGCCTGTCTTTATTCTCCTTTGGCCCGAAGCCCATGCATTTCACTGTCCTCGGTATTCACACGAAGGAGAAATCCCGGGGATTTCTCCCCGGCACGCGCATCCGACGACGAAAACGTCAGGCTTTGCGATGTGCGAAAGTTTCGCGTTTTCATCTCGTGATGCGCGCGTGCCGGGGAGAAACTCGTGTGAATACCCGAATGGAGGTTATTGACGTCATTTTCGTTGCGTGTGCTCGCGCACACCGGCGGCTGCTGGCTCGTGGAAAGAACGTGCTCCACTTATTATGGACACTAAACTCTTTGGTTCAGTATCCCTTTAAGGATTTTAAACTTGCATTTCCTCTCCAAAAGGAGGCAGGCACGGGACTTCATTTTTGCACGAATGTCTCCAAGGTTTAATCGAGTGTCCGAAACTAACCTCATCCGTGTTTATTGTTATACCTGGCAGGACTCTTCGCTCCCCTCGTGCTTTCGGTTCTTATGAGAAAAAAAAGCTTTAAAGGGATACTGAACCAAGGAATTTAGTGTCCATAATAAGTGGCGCACGTTCTTTCTACGAGCCAGCAGCCGCCGGTGTGTGCGAGCACACGCAACAAAAATGACGTCACAGACCTCCATTCGTGGTTGAGATGACAGTGAAATGTATGGGCTTCGGGCCAAAGGAGAATAAAGACAAGTTTTTCATCTACACAGTGTTGCCTGGTGTAAAAAGTAAGCGATGAATTGGTCTAACAAGCACGTAGCTTTCACTTGTAGAGATGAAAAGTTCATCTTTATTCTCCTTTAGTCCGACGCCCACGCATTTCACTGTCATCTCAACCGCGAATGGAGGTCTGTGACGTCATTTTTGTTGAGTGTGCTCGCGCACACCGGCGGCTGCTGGCTGGTGGAAAGAACGTGCGCCACTTATTATGGGCACTAAATTCTTTGGTTCAGTATCCCTTTAAGACCCATCGAACGTATACAGTATAATTTTTAACTTATCAACGGTGATGGACATGCCCGATGTAGATATTTTTTTGCGGGAGAGTTTTAGTGTGCAGTCTCTGCTAATGCTTCTTTAAGGTGTGTTTTCTCGTATGTCTTTTAGCAAAAAGTGTTATGTATAAGTTTATGTACTTTTCCTCTTTTACATTTATATATCACATTTTCATTTGCTTCATAATATGCATATGCGTTTTTGTGTGCCTGCCCTTTATGCAACTCTGCATGTATGTGTAGACAGTGCACCCTTACGTAGGCTTCGGGGCTGTTTAGGGGCACCCGGAAAAGTACAAATAAATAAATAAATAAATATACTACTCATATAAGAAAAAAACAACTACATCTCACTTCTTGGTTTTAGTTTAATCAGCTTAGACAATGAAAAGAGCGACCGATATAGCGCACATCGATTGATATTTGTTCTTTTTAGTCTCTGACCGTTTAAGAAACGCGAGTCATGGCGAATCCTAAGCATTTTATTCTCGCTCTTCATCCAATGAGGTCGAGGGATTACCCCGTAAAAGACGTCTAGCAAGCAGGGGTGGGGATTGAACCGAGAGAGATTGGGCTCAATCCCCACGTCTGAACGTTCCGCTATGGATGAGCATCGCACCTGCGTGCGGTCGTGTACTGCCACTCTGTGATGTGCGTTCATGACCCTGCAGGCTAGCACTGATACCGCACCGGCTAAATTTACTATCTACGGCGTAAACCAAAGCCACCAAACCTCGAAGGCTGGCCTACCTTACGCTGTCTAAAGATGAACGTCACATTTTGATTTTTGTTTTGTTTGGTTAAATCCCTCGAAGACAGTAGGTACCCGATAGGGCTGAATAACTTCACTCCGTCTAAACAAACACACAACAAAATTACTTACACCGAAATGCAAGCAATACGAAAGGAAGAAGTGTTCTCGTAAACGTCTACAGTCATGTCTCGTTAATATAAACACCCCGTTCCTCCGAAAGTTGTGCATTATGTGAGTTGTTTATAATACCGAGACGTGGATACAGGTATTTGTTAAGTTCGTACCCTAAAATGTTGTCCATATATAGTTGGGTATTCATGTTTTTGGGGGTTCGTATAGTAGCGACACATATGACCGTAATTACTCATGGTAGTTTCTTTCAGCGGACCGGTCATATTGGAGCGACCTGGCGAAAGAGGAGCTCCATCGGCGACTTGCTCAAGTACCCAACACTCAAAAGGCCAAGAACGTTGTCATCTTCTTGGGCGACGGCATGGGCATCTCGACCGTCACCGCAGCCCGAATATACAAAGGCCAGAAAGTAAACTGCGCCAGCGGAGAGGAATCGGTCCTCGCTTGGGAGAACTTTCCGTACGCCTCGCTGTCGAAAACGTACGGCCTGGACGCGCAGACTTCGGACTCTGCGAACACGGCAACGGCTTACCTGTGCGGCGTCAAGGCCAACATCAATACTCTCGGCGTGGACTCTTCCATTAAGGCAGGTATACACACTGCGCAATAGAGTAAGCGCGAGTTAGGCCACGGCCACACTGCTAGTACATCGTACAAGAGGCAGCCTGCAGACAGAAGGGAGTTTTAGGGAACCGTTTTTGCACATCCGATACGGTACGACTGCGCATGCGTGCGTCTTCTGCGGTAGCATATGTGCAGTTCGTACTGGAGGGCCCGTTGTATCCTATCGGATGTGCAAAAATGGTTCCCTAAAACTCTATACTGTCTGAGGCGTGTTTCGTCCTATAGAAGAACAGTGCTGCCACACGTGGTCATACAAAAACTGTTCGCAGACGTGTTCTAGGCATATGTATATATGTGTGAAGGAAACCCGCTTATTTGGAACATGCTCGAGGCGTGTACGCAGATAATTATTTCACGAATGTCTGGAGCCAACACCGTGTCTTTCGCATGATGTGCGATGAGGTGTGAGTGCGACTTTAGAATTATCCCGCGTCTTTTCAGAAGTGGTTATAGACCTTTCCAGAAAAGGGCTGCTGGCCGGTTTCATTTTCAGTGTTCGTTCGTATCGCGCGTGATTTGCTCGCTTTCCGAAGCGACGCACACGCGCGTGCTGAGCTGTGGAGATCGCACGCTGAGCTGTGGATTTGTAAACATTGGAAAGGTCTATACTTAATAACAGCGCAAGCAGTTGATAAACGGCTGCATAGAGCGGGAAGCAAGATGGCGGATCCACTAGCGGACGACAAGGTTATCCATACTCTAGGAAGGCTTCCGGTCCAGCAACTTCTAGGAACTCGCGAACACAACAACCGCACTTCATTTTTTATTGTTTTCTCTTTTATGCTTGAACGGAATTTTCCGACGGACCAGTATGACATTTAATTTATTGTTTACAATGAATACAACTCACTCCAGAGAGTAAAAGGTTAAAGGCGCGGACAATACAGACTCTAGAGAATCTGTTTTGTTTCAGATTTCAGGAGCAAAGTTGCGTTTCTTCGTAAAAATGCATTGTTTCCCTGACGTCACAGAACGTGACATTTTGAAATATGCCCTTCAATGCCAAAATCGTTTCTTGAGAATCAACGTCACCTAACCTATGAAAATGTCAGATTGTTTGTGTTTAGCACCTGTGACTGAGAGATTGTGTGGACAGCTTCCACAGTTCTTTTGCGACGTGTATTCCGCACCATCAAGAAGGCCGGTCTTAGTAACTTATTAATGTGAGCTCGTTCTGAGCATGCGCTCTAAACAGCACCCGCAAATATGGCGTCTTGTGAATAGACCTTTCGCTAATTTACACCAGCATCAAAGAGAATCTTGGGAACGTTTATACACGCGCTGCACGTGCTCTCCTTCCCTATAGAAAAGATTCGAAGTAAACAACCAAAATAAAGCGTCCGTGGAACGCGCGTGCGAAGTGCCATTTGTTCTAGATTTTTGTTTTGGAAAAGTTAGAGCTGGGGGGGGGGGGGGGGGGGGGGGGGGGAAGGCGGCCGCACGGCCAGTGCGTGTAGATACGTTCCCGGCATTCTTTGTGACGATTGGGTAATTTGGCAAAACGCCTACACTCCCTGTGGGCGACGTGCGCAATCAAAAGCGTCGTTGTTATCGGCTTTCCCCCAGAGCCTTCCCCGATTGGCCAAAGGAGAGTAAGGTAATAACTTCCATTTTTACGATGTTGGCAGTGTTGGTTTTAGAGCGCAATGATTTCAAGCTTCCACCATGCTCATACAAATACCATCGAGCTTGTTGTTCGCAATGTAATGACATCACGAGAGGGAACTATTGGAGGGCGCCAACAAAAAATATCGTCACTAATAGTAGTAAGTTCTTGTTTTCGCGGACTTACTACTTGGGGAACGCTTAAGCTTCGGCTTTAAGAGTGGAACGCGATAGCGTTATCGTGCCCCGTTCGCAAAGCCTTGTCATATAAACCCTCGCTCGTTCCCAAGGTGTGCAAGCGTATGTGCGTGGTCTAGGCGTTAGCGTCACGTCTCACATCAGTCACACGTGAGTGTTGTGGGCAGTTTGGAATTCCCACGCGAAGTCATGTAGCGTGACGTCACATGCGTGACGTCACGTGTAACTTCACACGTGATTGTGACGTAATGGTTAAAAAGTGCAACAGGATAACGGACAGAAAGCAAAAATGACGAAAGTAATCCCTGGAGAAGGGGAACAAGCGGGACAAAGGACAAACATAAATCTCCAGACACAGCTGGGAGACTGGTGAGCGACCGAAAAAATCCGCCTGGTCCGGGTATCGAAGCCGGGACCTCTCCATTACAAGTGGAGCGCTCTACCAACTGAGCTAACCAGGGGTTAGACGTCAGTAGAGCAAACGGGTTTTATCAGCTGCCACCAGTCGAACACCAACAAGAGTGAAGCTTGCAATTTAAGGTTATAATTATAATGCAATTAAATGCAAAGGTGCAAGCGAGCTGGACAAGAATGACGAAAGTAATCCCTGGAGAAGGGGAACAAGAGGGACAAAGGACAAACATAAATCTCCAAGAACACAGCTAGGTGACTGGTGAGCGACCGAAAAAATCCGCCTCCAGGGATTACTTTCGTCATTCTTGTCCAGCTCGGTTGCACCTTTGCATTGAATTGCATTAAAAAAAATAGAAAGCAAAACACAGACAGCGCTACTAACAACTGAACTTTATTTTCGTTGTCACTCAAAATATATACCGGCGCCAACAAAAACAAGTTAAGAAACGTATTCAATTACACATTGTTAAAAGGCTAAAATTGTGACATCACTCATTACACCATCTCAGACTAGTCATCCCTGGTTGGGGAACAGTAATTCTCTGCCAAACAAGGATACAGACCGTGTGCTGACCACACATAAGCCCCAATCTACCAGTTTCTTGGGCCTCAAGTATTTCTTGTGTGATTTTGTTTTGTTTATGCTTAGTACATCACAGTCAGCAAAGAGTGGAATGCAGCAATAATCGCGGCAGTGGCCACGGAGATGCCCTGGTACGACGCTATCTACATTGTATCGGTACTCCCTCAAACGTTCATTCAGGCAAAGGTCCGTCTGACCCTTGTAGTGACGCCCACACGATAAAGGGACGGAATCAACGACCTCTTCTACACACTCAACGAAGCAGGTTTCGCGCTTCTTTAGGCAGCTGCGTCCGCATGTCGTGTTCTAAATGGAGATTACCTTGTTACACAAGCTAGCTAACTTCACAGGGGGCGAAAAAACGACGTTAACCCCCGCGTGCATGCCCACTCTTTGGATAATTTATGCAAGTATGGTAGTACCACCACTTTTTCTTTTTTCTTCTTTTGTACTGTCGTTCCGTCACTATTTTTATTCTTCAACTGCTTGAGTTTGTTCTCGGCTACCGGTGATGGAAGGGTGACCGGAAACTCCGCAGACTTGAGACTTAGCGCCTGATTTTTAAAGCTTACGTCGATCTTGTGAGCGCGTGACTTTGGTAAAGCGTTACCGAAACAGAGATTAACGATACCTCTCTTCACGAGTTTTGAGTGTGCCGACGCGAATGGCAGTATTGGCTTGTTCCTCATTGGTTCGTGAGTTCAGCGTACATGCTCCGGTTGAAAGTCAAGCCTCAAGTCCAAAAATTGAATGACTCCCAACCCCCCCCCCCCCCTTCTCCTCCCCAAACCGGAACTTCATGTGTTAGCACCAGGGGTTTTAGACAGCCACTGAAAATGGACAGGGTCAGAGACACCACTCCATCGAACAGATTCGGGTTGCAGTTCAAGAGAACCACAAATTCGTCTACAAAACCAAAAATATTTAAAACCCATAATTTTTCAAGCTTGCTGACCAAGTTTCTATCAAGAGCCGCCAGAAAAATGTCGCTAAGAACCGTCGACATACAAGATCGAATACACTTACTCCCGTCTTCTGCACAAAAATACCTTCCTCCCAATTAGCGAACGTTGATTTTTAAATAGAATGCTAGATGTTCCAGAGAAAAGTCAACTCTGAGTTATAATTATACCCGCTTTATTCTGAAATGCCACAACACCATGCTTGTCGGTCGTGTCCTCTACTCAAGACAAAAACTGATCCTGAAGGATTGAAGAATAAAGATCCTTAATGTCAAAAGAATAACCCAAGATGTTCTAGCTGGGAAGACCTACCAAGGCAACTTTGTTTTTTTTTTAGCCCCTGTGAAGTTAGCAAGCCTGTATAACCATTGGTAAACTCCATTTCGAACACGACAGGCGGTCACAGCTTCCTGAAGAAGCACAAAACCTGCTTCGTTGAGTGTGTAGAAGAGGTCGTACATTCCGTCCCATAATCGAGTGGACGTCACTATGTGGGTTAGAGGGGCCTCTGCCTGAATGAACGCTTGTTGGAGCACCGATACAACGTAGATAGCGTCGTACCAGGATATCTCGGTTTGCACTTCCGAGATTGTGGCTGCATTCCACTCTTTTCTGGCTGTGCCGTACTAAACAAAAACAAAAAAAATCATGCAAGAAATACTTGAGGCCCAAGAAACTGGTAGATTGGGGCTGCAGTCTGTCAGCACACCATATCGATCTTTTTCGTACAAAGAATTACTGTTCTTCAACCAGGGATGACTAGTCTGAGATGGTGTGATGAGTGATGTCACAATTATAGCATTTTAACAATGTGTATTTGTATATATTTCTTAACTTTTTTTTTGTTGGCGCCGGTATATATATTGAGTGAACACGAAAATAAAGTTCCATTGTAAGTAGCGATGTGTCTGTGTCTTCCTTTCTGTCCGTTGTCTTGTTGCGCACACCTGGTGTCGGCAAAGCGGGCTTGCTTGTAAGCACTATGTTGGTGTATACTTGGTTTTACAGTTGGTCCGATGCCGTCAGCGCTACAATCCGATGGAACCACTCATGCAACCAAAAAAGCATCGTCACGGCGCTCGTCGTTTTTGTGCGTTCGATATGTCACCGAATAAAGCAATCACGTAGAGAAAAAAAAAACACAGGAGCACGCTGAATTACCAGTGCGTGAATGGTTTAGACGATGATACCAAACTCACAAAGAGCGACGCGACGAAGCACTTTCGGCGCTGTTTGATTGGCTCCATTGAAGTGTGTGGCTGCGTTCGGACTTAATGTGAAACGGATTCACACTGTCTCTTTCCAGGCGGGGATGTGCCACAGTAACAAAACTACCCACCTGCCGAGTATCATGAAGTGGGCGCAGGACTCGGGAAAGTGGACCGGTGTGGTGACAACCACGCGCGTGACGGAGGCGACACCTGCTGCCGCCTACGCGCATTCGGGTCACCGTTACTGGACGTCTAAGGTTCCCAAGGGCTGCGAGGCGGAGGACATCGCTTACCAGCTGGTACATCAGGAGCCTGGATCCAAGCTCAGGGTGAGCGATTCCTTGAGAGTGCTTGTCGTTCTTTTCGACGCTTCTCGATTCTCGAAAATTTAATAGTCGTAAATAATTTTACATAAAAAAGAACACGAATAACAAACATTGCGTCGTTTGCGTCGCAAATATATATATATATATATATATATATATATATATATATATATATATATATATATATATATTGAAAACTTTTTGTTTTAAACTTGAGTGGAAACAGAAACCGAAACTTTCGATCCGTCGATCAACATTGTCCTCGGGCCGCCGAAAACATGGCTACCAGGTGGTACGAGCGGTCAAGTGATGCTTTACGCGACGACGGCCGGGATCAGTGCGGTCCACCGTTGGGACGGGTGTGTACAAGGCGCAACTGTTATCTGCACCGCAGTCTTCACCGCGTTTTGGCGTCTACGATGTCCGACGATGTCTGCACAACTGTGGCATAAGTCCGCGCACGTTCACTGTGAACAAATCTCCGAGAGACACTAATAATCACAAACGGCGAGCGCCACCGCCAATGACGTTGACACCGCTGAGCGCCGAGAGGCGACCCTGCTGACGTCACCCGTTACGCTTCCCTGGAAAAGTAGAAACAAAAATGTGGCGATGCTGATGACGCTTAGCTCAATGTTGGCTACGCTAACGCCGTAGTCTTTACTACGCTCTTGATTGCGCCCTAATTCGTCCGCTAGAGTCAGCCGATTTCGTCAGCTTTGGCGCGTTCTAAAGTTTGCCGGACAGTTTAAGAAACATTTAGACAGAACTAGTCGTAATATTTGACGTGCGGTCTGTTTAGGTGATAATAAAAACGATTACATTTTTTTTCTTTGCAAAAAATAGAATGAAGTGGAGTTGCCCTTTAAGAATAACAGGACACGCTCCTTCCAAAAAGCCCTCCACTTTTTTAGTTAGTTTAGTTAGACCCTACTGAAGTGGAAAGTGAGTAAATACAAAGTCAGCTAGCTTTACGTCTATACACTAATCATTCCAGTCACAGCTTGGTGCTTTGACGTCCCCACACACTTACATCTTCTCTCTCTCAATTTCTCTCCGTAGAGTATCACAACAAGTAAAACTTCCAGTTATCTGCCTATGGGGCCGCGTCAAGGTTCAAGAAACGTTCGCACCTGCTGCTCGATAACTTGCATACCGCAAGGAAAGACCTTTCTTCGTTGAACCCGTCAACCTTACGTAATACCCGTTCATTGTCCATTGTGATTTCCGCTGCGTCGTGTCGTGAACAGCGAAAGAGTTATTGCCGTGCGCAGTGTTGAACAAGCAACGCTCAGTCACGGAATTCTAGAAGACTCACGTTTATTTTTACTCGGGGCGTAACTTTTATCATTTTGTCCTAGTTTCTTGTTCTCTAGGGTGCCTGTTGATTCTCGCTCGAGCGTGTGACGCTCGAAACCTTAGCCGAATTTTCAAGATAGTCACGCACACTAAATAAGGAGCTGCGCAGGATCTTGTCGAGTCAGTCTCGCTCTCGCTTGCTTTTACGCCGCCAAATCGCCGGTCGCTTTTTTTCTGCTGCCTCGACGCTCGTGTTTTTATTTTGTTTGGCACAAGTTCGTCGATTAAACCCTTTATTTTCAGTTCACTGTTCATCCTTTCGTCTCCTTTATTCGGGACATTTCTGGTGGAGGTGCGGGATAACGCAACCCATGAAGCGTACCCCTCCGAGGCCTCGCATCGCAAGCCTAGTCCCCGGCGCAAGAAGACCGTCCGTGAAAACGACCGAGGCCCGAGGGAGCAATCATGCTCAAAGTGTGCCGCCGGAATTTGATTTACTGCCGTAGAAGAGTCACCAGTTAACGAAGCCGACGGTGAACAACCAACCGTCGCAGACCCCCACCGCCGCTCCTAATGTATACCTTCCCGTCGCTCTTCGTACGTCGACGCTCTTTCACGGCGAGATCCATGAGGACGTCGAGGACTGGATTCAACACTACGAGCATGTGGCACGCCACAACAGATGGACTTCCGAGCAGTACCTGCAGTACCCTTACTTTTCGCTCGACGGTACTGCGAGGCACTGGTTCGAGAATCACGAGGCTTCGCTCACATCGTGGGACGCCTGCGTCACCAAACTGAAGCGGGCGTTCATGAATCAGCATCATAGACAGCGGGTCGAAGACCTTCTTAGACTTTCTCCAGGCGAGGACTCAAGCACCCAACGAAACGGTCCCTTGCTTTGTCGAAGATGTCCTGCGGCTGAGTACTTGAGCAGACCCTCAAGCCACCGAGGAGAAAATACTGCGCGACCTCATGAGAGGCGTGAAGAGCGACATTTGCGGCGGCCTCGTCTGCAACCTTCCAATGACACATGACGGGTTTGTTGCCGAAGCAGCAAACATCGAGTGGATGCTAGCGGCCCGAGCCCGCCACTATCATCGGCTCAACGACGTCGTCTGCACTCTGGCATCGGTCTGCTCCGATCTCAGCACCAACGCCGACGAGCTTCACGAGATCATCCGCGACGTTGTTTGCGAAGAACTGAAGAAGCTGCTGCCTGCTGCCGACCGAACCACGGGCTCCTGTCAACCCTCCGCCGCTCGAGCAACCGACCCTGAGCTACACCGCCATGGTCCGATGACCGCCGCTAGTAACCCGCCAGTACCAGCATCCGGCGCCTCCTCGACGGGAAGCCCCTACGCTGCATTACGCTTGGCGCACTGAGGAACAAGCTCCGTACGTCCGAGCCGAACTTACGGCGCCAAGGAAGACGGACGTGTAGCGCACTTTTGACCGACGCCCTCTGTGCTACCACTGCGGGGAAGCGGACCATGTCTACCGTCGTTGGCCGTACCGGCAGCTGGGGCTACGCGGCTTCCACCCGGACGACCCGCGCCCCCACTACAATAAGCGACCTCGGTACACCGATGAATACCCCCGCCGGTCGCCATCCCTGGGACCGTCTCCCCGCCACGGGTTTCGGATCGCCCTCACCCCACCGCCCAGCATGGCTTGTACGCAGATCCCGCCGTAAGAGCCCGTCTCGCATGTCCCGTAGGGAAAATTTAGCGTGGAAACCCCTGGAGGTGGCGTTGCCGCAGACTGACGACGTAAACCGCCTCCAAGAACGCAGGGGACCTCCCTCTTTAACGACGACAACGATTCTGCGACGGTGCCCAACAACCTAAACGTTGTCATCGACGGCCACGACGCGTCGGCACTCGTGAACACCGCTGCAGATTACTTCGTTTTGAGTGGAAGCTCTCTCGCCGCCTTCGGAAAGTCACGATGCCCTGGGGCGGCCTACAAACACGCACCGCCCGAGGACACCTCATCACGCCTGTTGGTAAATGCACTGCTCGCGTCGAAATTCACGGGGAGACCTCTCCAGACATTTTCGTCGTTCTTCAGGTTTGTGCGAGAGACGTCCTCCTTGGCATGGCCTTCCTGTGTGAGTACGGTGCCATGATCGATTTTTGGAGGAAACAGGTTGACGCTGCGAAAGCCCGTTTTACCTACGGAAGGATTGAAAAAGACGCCAGCAGCCGTCCGAGTCATTGAGGACAACATGAACCTGCCGCTGCGGTCGAGTGTTCTTGTGCCCGTCATGACCGATGTAGTCGTCTGCGGGGAAGTCCTTCTGGAAGGCAACGTCCAACTGCTTCTTGGAAGAGCAATACCCTACCGAAAAAAACCGGTTTAAACTGGATTATGGAACAGGAAATTTAACTGGATTTCTTGCTGGAAACCTGAAATCCAGCTTGCAGACAATGGTCTGCAAACTGGATTTCAGGTTTTCAGCAAGAAATCCAGTTAGATTTTCTGTTTTATAATTCTGTTCATACTGTTCTTTTCGGTAGGATAGGCGTCGCAAGGGGCGTAACGGAACCGCAGGATGGACCTACTGTGGTTCTCATGACGAACGTTCGACAGAAGGCGCAACACCTCACGAAAGATGCCGCTGTAGGCCACGTCGAAGAACTCCGGAACGCCGCCGAAATCGCCTCAATCTCCGACGAGCCCTCGCCATCTCAAGCTCAGTGCTACGGAACGACGACAGCTCAGGGTCCTCCTTTCTGAATACAGCAATTGCTTTGCGACCACGTTGAAAGTGCGACAAAAAAACAACTGCGAAACATCGCGTTGTTGCCAACGATGATGCGTTCACTGCTCCTCGACCGCCATACCGTGTCTCCTCAAAAAAAAAAAAAAAAAAAAGAGGCGATCCGTGAGCGAGTACAAGAGATGCTCAACCACGACATCATTCAGCCTTCAAGCAGCCCATCGGCCTCTCCAGTCGTACTGGTGAAAAAGGACAGAACGCTTCAATTATGTGTCGATTACTGGCGGCTCAACGCTTTGACGAAGAAAGACGTGTAACAGCTCCCCCGCATCGACGACACACTGGACAGGCTGCGCCACTCCAGATACCATACTTCTCGTCGACGTACGTGAAGAGTGGCTACTAGCAGATCGAAGTCGACGAACGGGACCGAGGGAAGACTGCCTTTGTCACGCCCGATGGACTCTACGAGTTCAAGGTGATTCCCTTCGGACTGTGTACGGCGCCAGAAACTTTCAAGCGTGTCATGAACACCGTACTGGCAGGTTACAAGTGGCAGAGCTGTCTCGTTAACCACGACGACGTCATGGTATACTCGGCCAACTTCGACGAACACTTCAGACGCCTTCGGGCTGTTCTTGAGGCAATCAGGACCGCCGGAGTTACCTTTAAGCCGACGAAGTTTCGGTTCGCCTATGGCTAACTGAAGTTTCTAGACCACGCTGGGATCATCGAAGGTGTTCGTCCTGACCCTGAGAAGACTCGCGCCGTATCGGCACTTCCACCGCCCACCGACAAAAAGGCCATCCGAAGATTCCTAGGACTTTCCGTGCACTACCGGAGATTCGTTCGGGATTTTGCCAAGCTTTCTGCGCCGCACTCGCACCTCACGAAAGACGCCGTGCACTTCGAATGGGGTGGAGAAGAACAACAGGCATTCGACGAGCTAAAGCGAGGACTCCAGTCGCCACCGATTCTC